TGGGCCGCATATAAGGCTCAAACTAGGCCCAGTTTAGTAATTTGGCCATAACTTTCTCAATATTCATCGGAATTGGGCTTATAATATATCGTTGGAAAGCTCTTTTCAAGGCCTATCCAACTAGACTACTATTGGACCCATATCACGGACCAACCAAACTGGATTGACTGTTTTCTTAAAATAGGTTTTCAAAAACAGAGAGAAGAGAAAAGAAATTAAAACTATCCGCAACACTAAACTTTCCACACTTTCACTTCATTCGATTATGATTCGGCGTGAAAGGTACTCATCACTGGGTTTGGTTTTGGGGAGACACAAATGGGTGTCTACACTAGTCAAGAAATAAGAAAGGCTATGTTCTCTATTCATCATTTGAAATCACCAGGGCCCGATGGAATTATAGCAAAAAAATTTCACGTACACTAGAATATAGTTGGGAACACAGTGGTAGAAGCAGTGCAACATTTTTTTTCAGAACGGGGCTCCTCTTAAAAGAGTTCAATAATTCGCTTTTAATCATGCTCCCAAAAGTTGAGTATTTGGAATTAGCTACACACTTTCGACCAATAAGTCTATTAAACACAATAAACAAGTGCATCACAGAGTGTATGGTTAATAGAATGAAGAGCACTCTGCCGACTCTAATCACGGATTTTCAGCATGTTTTTGTGCCAGGAAGGTATATGGAGGACAATATCCTCTTGAGTCATGAATTAACCCATGTCTTTAATAATACAAATATCAAAGCTCCAATGGCGGCGATAAAAATTGATATGTCAAAAGCTTATGACAGGGTAAACTGGACTTTTGTCATCAAAATATTGAGAAAGTATGGGTTTTCTAGCCAGTGGGTTCAATGGGTGGAACAGTGTATTACTAGAGTTTCGTACAAAACTTTGGTGAATGGAAGGGTAACCGATTCCTTTAAACCATAGTGTGATTTAAGGCAAGGGGATCCACTATCCCCTTACCTTTTTATTTTTTGCATGGACATTCTCTCATGAATGCTCCTTCTTGCAGAAAATATTGGCCAGATTCAAGGAATTAAGGTAACTAGAAGATCACCGCCCATTTCTTACTTATTTTTTGTAGATGATGCGATGATCTTTTTTAAAGCCACTACGAATTCATGTGAGAACATCATTGCTAGCCAGATTTGAAAGGGTTTCAGGACAACAGTTAAATCTTAAAAAATATTTTGTGAAGTTCAGTCCTTCAACGATAGTGCTAGAAAAGGAAAACTTCAAAAATATTCTGAAAATGGAACAACGGCAAGATTTGGGAACTCATCTCGGTGCCCCAATTGATCTTAAAAATAAAAAAGCGGACAATTTTAGATACTTGGTGGATAAGGTAGCCACAAAGGTTATGCAATGGAGTTCGTTAAGACTTTCACAAGCGGCAAAACTTGTTCTAATTAATACAGTTCTAGTGAGCATATCCTCCCATGTTATGAAATGCTCCAAATTACCTCTCTCCACAGCAAATGCTATAGACTCTATAATATAGCAAGATTCTTTTGGTTTTCTAACGGAGAAAAGGGTATGCATTGGGTCAAGAAAGACACCATCCACCTTCCAAAGGGAATGGGAGGTCTGGGAATTCAATCAATCTTAACTTTAAACGATGCTATGCTTTTCAGGCAAGTGCAAAGGATGCACTGTAACCCCCAACTTCTCGTTTCTCATATTCTCTACAACAAAAATTCATGCCCTCTTGTTACTGCAAGACGACAAATTCTCACTAAGCCCTATTTATCTTGGGGAAGGAGGGGGCTATAAAAGGTTGCTAATACCTTCATCGACGGTTGTGCATGGAAGGTAGGTTCAGGTGAGAAAATTAGGTATGAAAATATGAAATGGGTTAATGGCAAGGTGCCTGAGGTGGCTTCAAATCAACTTCTGAGAGGAGTTGGAGCGAGCATGGTTAGTAGTTTGATCTTAGAAAATCTAAGAATATGGGACATAAGTGGCATTAGGGAGCGGTTCAATTGGAATAACGCCAAGGAATTCTAAATTTGGAGTTATAAGAAAGACATCAAGATGATTTGTTATATTGGATTTCTCATAAATCTGGGAAGTATACAACAAAGATAGGGTGTGCTTACCTTCAAAGCATAAAAATTCAAAACGAAGACACTATGTTAGACTCACAATTTTGCAAAGTTATTTGGAGGATCAATATTCCCCCAAAGTGGAGTCTTTTTATCTGGAAATTAGTCATGAATGGGTTTGTTGTAAGGGCTAATTTACACCATAGAGGCTTGCAAGTGAACTTGGCTTTGTGAATTATGTGGAAGGGAGCAGGAAGATACAATTCATATCTTTAAAAAATACATTGTAGCTAGAAGAATGTGGGAGGATAGCTCATTAATCCTTCAATCAAAAACGACTGGAGCTACTCATATGCGACAACGGGTCCAGAGTCATATCCTGTTGTTTTATAGCGAGGATGGTACTCATAGAAATCGAATTACTATGTTTATAGTAAATCTTTGGAGTTTATGGATAAATAGGAATGGGAAGATTTTCAAGGGGGAAGAGGGAAATTTGGTTAATCTAAAGCGCCACATTGAAAATGCGAGGAAGAAACTAGACCTCTACAAAACACAACCAAAAGTCCATAAAGAAGCTTTGACACTGAGTACGAGACCACCAGGTTTTGAGTATGCATCTATAGGAAGGGATGATTACAAACTACGACAATATCAGGTGTGTAACCAAGGAATCACAATTGAAATTGATGGATTGTGGCAGAAGCTGACGGGTAATGCAGGGCTGGGCTGGATACGCATAAGGGAGGAAGAGGAAATAGAAGAAAGAAGAGGCCACTACTGCAAGGCGATTTCGAGCCTTCACGCATAAGCACTAGCTTGTTTAAAGGCCATCAAGTGGGTCCACAACAAAGGATACATCAAGATTTTCCTTCTTACATATTGTGTCAATTTGGTTAACACTCTGGAAAGACGACATGAACCGGATATGAGGATGTTGTGGACAATTCAGGATATTTGGAAGCGTGCAAATATGTTCAAACTTTTGTAGTATGGAAGGTTAGCAGGAACCAAGTTTAGAGGGCACACCTACGAGCGAATGAGTGTAGGAACAATTTTACTTGCTTTGTTACTTAGTTTTATTTTCTTTCTTTGATGTCAAAAAAAAAAGGAAAAAAAAAGGAAGACCTTGATACTATGCTTGTTGATATGATGAAAAATTTTAATGTGAGTCTTGAAGGAATGAATGAGAAAATTGAGAAGAGTATGCAAGAAATTGCTCAAACCAATCAAAGGGTTGAAACTTTGTCAACTCAAGTGGTTGGGGAAGGATGAATAATCAACAATGAACATCCTAGGGAGTCATGAGAAATTTTTCCATTGACAATGTTCGAGATTTTAAGTTGTTGGAACTTCCGGAATTTACAGGTGATGGGGATGCTGAAGACTTTTTAGATTGGGTTCGTTAGATGGAAAAGGTCTTTGACAACAAAGGGTTTGATGAGCAAAAAGCCTACAAGATTGTAAACCTAAAACTAACTAAATATGCTTCTCTATGTTTGAGAGTTTACGTGCCAAGAGATTGAGAGAAGATGAGCGATAAATAAATACTTGGAGTGAGTTGAAGAGACAATTAAGGAAACGGTTCTTACCACGGGAGTTTATCCAAGATCAATTCTTGAAGTTGAATCATCTTGAACAAAAGAATCTCAGTGTTGCCGAATACACTAAGAGTTTGAGAAATTGTGCATGCTTTGTGATTTGCAGAAAAAAGAGGAGATGAAGATCGGACGATACATGAAAGGGTTGACACTTTCGATTTCTCACAAGGTGGAAACATCAAATTATGTGTTCTTTGATGATGTCTTAAGGTTGGTAGAAAGATTTGAAAAGCAGGAGAAAGAAAAGAAAACTTCTTATTTCAAGGAAAGAAAGTCATTCTTTACTGGTGAGGGTTCGAATCACAATAGTGCTCCTAACTCTAACAATTCGAACAATGAAGGGAAGATGATTGTTGTTACTCCCGAACAAGCTACATTGACGAAAAAAGTTTGTTTCAAGTGCCATGGTGTAAGACACGTTGCTAGAGATTGTGGCAACAAAGTGACGATATCCAAAAAGGAACATAGAATGTTGTTGGCTTATCTTGACCAAGAAGAGTAATATAAAATCAACAGATCGAGTAGTTAAATAAAGCAAAAAGATAGTTATAAGAAAGGGGACTCGATTCACATCATTATTTTGGCAGAGTTTGAGAATGCAATTTTAGTTTTTTTATTACCCGGCCCGAAAAGCCCACATAACCTGACCATTTTAGATGGTTTTAGGCACGTAGTTTTCAGCCCGACTCGAGAAATGGGCTGATATTTTTGGACTCGACGGGTAGGACCGACCCTGCCTGCCCAATGAGATTACCTCCACCATCCGTCAATTAGGGCTGAGCAAAACTACCCGAAATACCGAAAGCCCGAAAAAACCGATCCGTAACCGTTTCGAAAATTAGGGTACCCGATCCTGATAACCATAACGATTCGGGTACGCGTTCCGATAATTTGTTATCGAGTATGGTTATGGGTGTCATTTTAAAATTAACGGTTACCCGATCCGATCCGATAAGCATTTTTTTTGCTTTTTTTTCCCTACTTAAATCTATTAATATAAATCTAAACTTTTACTTTAGTTCATAATCACTTTATAATATCAATGATTAGTAATATTATTAATAATTTGGTCAAGATCATATGGTATTGTTTTTAATTAGTTGTAAATTATATCATAATAACTACATACTTAAGTTTAATTATCATTATTGGATATCTTATTGGGTACCCAATAATCGATCCGAAAATCCGGGTACCCGAACTTATCGGTTCCGATTATGGGTATCACTTTTAGTAATTTTGGTTATCGGGTACCCGAACCGTTAATACTAACGGTACGGGTATCAGTCCCATGCTCACCCCTACCGTCAATCACTCACCCAAATGATCTCTAGTCTCTACCGAAGAACCAAAAGTCAGTTACGCCCTTGCAATCGATCCTAGTTCCTGAAGTTTTAAACTATCCTCAACTTAAAACCTTTGTCACTGCTCGAAAATGTCACTGTTTCAATCCACACTCAGTTGAATCACCTCAAATTCTTCCCTTTCACCTACTTTACAAGGGTTTTTCAATTTCTTCATTTCCATAAACCCTACATTGTTTGATCACAATGCAAGATTGATGCTTTAAAATTCAACCGCCTTTAATTCAATTTCATTCTCTGTTTTCCCCTTTTAAAATCTCAACTGCCCAGATCAACAAATCTGATCACAATGGCGGCCAAAACGGAAGCCATGGCTAAACCTCAAGATCCCAAATCATCAGATCCATTGATCAGCAACTCAGGTTTCAATATCTCTCTCAAATCTTTTAAGCTGAAAACTAAACAACAAGAAATCCTGATTAGGGTTACAATCCTTTTCCTTGTTTATGTACTTGCTTTTAGTACTCGTCTCTTTAGTGTTCTTCGTTATGAAAGTATGATCCATGAATTTGATCCGTATTTTAATTATCGTACTACTCTCTATTTAACTGAAAAAGGGTTTTATGAATTTTGGAATTGGTTTGATTCTGAGAGTTGGTACCCTTTGGGAAGAATCATTGGGGGTACCCTTTACCCTGGTCTTATGGTAACTGCTGCCTTGATTTACTGGGGTCTTCGATTTCTCCGTTTCGCGGTCCATATTCGTGAGGTTTGTGTTCTTACTGCGCCATTTTTCGCATCGAATACTACTATAGTAGCTTATTTCTTTGGGAAAGAGATTTGGGATACTGGGGCAGGGCTTGTAGCTGCGGCATTGATTGCTATTTGTCCCGGTTATATTTCGAGGTCGGTTGCTGGGTCTTATGACAATGAAGGGGTTGCAATCTTTGCCTTACTGCTTACTTTCTATCTGTTTGTTAAGGCAGTTAATACAGGTTCGCTTGCTTGGGCATTGGCCTCTGCTTTTGGGTACTTTTATATGGTTTCAGCTTGGGGAGGTTATGTATTTATCATTAATTTGATACCTTTGTATGTGCTGGTGCTTTTGATCACGGGGCGATACTCAATGAGGCTCTACATTGCATATAATTGTATGTATGTGGTGGGTATGTTGTTGGCAATGCAAATTCGGTTTGTTGGATTTCAACATGTGCAGTCTGGTGAGCATATGGCTGCCATGGGCGTATTTTTCTTGATCCAGGTATTGTTTCTGCTTGTGTAAATTCACTTGTTACTGTTGATAGAGTTCTTTGCATACAAATAATTTCCAATTTTGATGCTCAAAGCTTCCAATCTCATGCATATTCAGTCGTTTAACTTTCATTTTCAGTAATGTGCTGTTGGTTTATCGTTATTTTTGTTTGATACATTAGTTTGATTGATATTAACTGGAATTGTGTTGTATGTTCAGGTGTTTTACTTTTTGAATTGGGTGAAGCACATGCTTAGTGATACAAAGCTGTTTGAGTCCTTTTTGAGGATAACAGTTACCTCAGCAGTTGGTGTGGGTGTTGTTGCATTGGGAGTCGGCAGTGCATCTGGCTACATATCTCCCTGGACAGGACGATTTTACTCTCTCTTGGATCCAACTTATGCAAAGGATCACATCCCAATCATTGCTTCTGTCTCTGAGCATCAACCTACAGCTTGGTCATCCTTTATGTTTGATTTCCATATTCTGCTTTTCCTTTTCCCGGCAGGTTTATATTTTTGCTTTAAGCGGTTGTCTGATGCCACCATATTTATCGTTATGTATGGCTTGACCAGTATGTATTTTGCTGGTGTTATGGTTCGGTTGATCCTTGTTGCCACTCCTGCCGTATGTCTTATAAGTGCTATCGCAGTTTCTGCAACTATAAAGAATATAACTTCACTGCTGAGGTCTAAGAGCAAGGTTAATACTGGCTCCATCAAGGGAAGTGCTAGTGTCAAGGCTTCTTCTAAGGTCAGTTCAACTACTGAATTTAATGCTCCTTATCTTATTTGTGAAAAGAGAAAAAAAGAAGGGGGGGGGGGGGGGGGTTCACTTCATGTCTGCTGCTTTATTACCAAGGAATTTGAAGGGGTGTTGTAGTTATTACAGTTATTGTTATTTTCATACATAAGTAAATTAATTACTTGGACTTCCAAAGAGCTTTCCGTGCTGTAGATCAATTTTATGTTGTTTTTAACTTATGCTATGTTCATTTCAAGGGATTATTTAATTTGGTATGGTCAAAGGTTTGAGCATGACTGTTAAAGTGTTAAGTCACTTGATGTACGCCTATTTTTCCAATTCTTACTCTTGGTATTGGTAACATAGGTTTATTAGAAGAAACTTCAGCAATATGCTTATTGAAGCAAAACATAGGTGTCATCAACTAGTTTTATATTTATTGAATGGCTGCACTTTGGATTAATGAAGTAAAAGAGACTAATTTAGTGCTCTCTAGGTGGTGTATGGCTGTATGCAGTGTGCCTTTTGCTTTTGTTGCACTTTCTAGAAATTTCCGTAAAGCACTTTTTTAAAAAAAAAAAAAGTTTCTCTAATATATTGTCTCTAAATTTATGAAATTCATGAAAATTTTGGGTTGCACTTTAAATTAACAAAAGGAATGAGAAAAAAGAGCTTTTTCAACCATGGTTAGGTGTGTGCCTCCTTGTTTTTATTTTTATTTTTTATTTTGCTTGCATGTGTTTTAGATTTTAATTCAAGTCTTTAGCATTCAGTATTTATTTATTTTCTTTGATGTATACATGAACATTTGCTTGGTGTTTGGTTGATTAATAAGTCCTTCCTCTCCCAAGTTTATTTTAACTAAATATGTTACTAGATTAGTCTCCAATAGATTTAATTTCACCTACCTTTTTTTCGGGTTGTTTTTGCAACGGTGGTCTGTATCTTAGGTCTGAAATTTATGTTCTAGAACCTAATTTTCCTGCTGGGCTTGGTTGAATTTGCAGGTTGGGACTATTGCTTTCAGATCTAAATTACAAGATACTTGCTAGACTTTTTGCTGATTCACAAGATCTTATTAGATTTTGAATACTTGGTAGACTTGTTGATTTACATGTGCCTTTGTTCATAATCTCTGCTTTATTTCTAGTGCAGTGGTGTGGTATTAACCACACTTTGGGTAGTTTAGAAGGGTGGTGAATAGCTTATATTCAATAGTGATGCTATGCATGTTTCTGCACTTGAATTTCTTATTCATCTCTTCCTTTCTTCTTGCTCTTATGTGGTTTGACGAAGCAGGCTTCTGTTGATCAATCGTTGCCTTTCCAAAAAAATGTCGCTATCGCGTTGCTTCTGGGTGCATTTTACTTGCTCAGCAGATATGTTATCCACTGTACATGGGTCACATCAGAGGCTTATTCATCTCCATCTATAGTTTTAGCTGCAAGAGGTGCTCATGGAAACCGGGTTATCTTTGATGATTACCGTGAGGCATATTACTGGCTTCGACAAAATACACCTGCTGACGCAAAAGTAATGTCATGGTGGGATTATGGTTATCAGATCACTGCAATGGGAAACAGAACAGTAATTGTTGATAATAATACTTGGAATAACACCCACATTGCTACAGTTGGACGGGCAATGTCGTCTTATGAAGATGAAGCATACGAAATCATGCAATCACTTGATGTGGATTATGTATTAGTTGTATTTGGTGGTGTAACTGGCTACTCTTCAGATGATATTAACAAGTAAGTGACTTTATCATTATTATAATTTACAATAAATATTCTATTGCCAATCCCATAAAGTTACTGAATTTGTTCCTTTTTCTGATCTGCAGTTTATTACTGTGAAGTTAATTTTGTGGTTATATCTTTAATCATAGTGGCAAGCAAGTTGCTATTTGTTGCTTGATGAGATAAACTCTCTTATAGTATTACTAACAATTGATATGTGACAATGTGATATAGGATCTTTGCATCTTGCAGGCAACATCAGGTTAGGGGTCAATTGACTCTTGACTTGTGCTGATAGTGCTTTACTTATTGCAGGCTGTATTTCTATTTGTCATTTCAAGAAGTTATGATGATTGTTTTTCTTTTTCCGGTTTCATCATACTACCGGTATTTTCTTTGTTCTACTCACTTTAGTTTTGCAACCCAAAGAATATGAATGTGGCTGTATGAAAAAGGTGGATAATTTATGAGAGATGGAGTAAAAAGGTGGGTGGGTGTAAGAAAAATGATTGGAAAGGTGGATACATTGTGGGGAAAGTAAGCATAAAGGTGGATAAATTGTGAAGTAAGAGGGGATCAACAGTAAAAGACGTTTGTAAAAAGAGGAATAAAGTAGAAGTGGGTAGAACAGATAGAAACCCAATAACGAAAGATGGGTAGAACCTACAAAAATGGAGCTATTAGTGTTACACTGTTACTTTTATAATGACCAGAAACTCGGACAAAAATTAAAACCTTGGTATTTATTATAAAGAGAACTGTAGTTGAGGAAGCATTGTTTTTCCTTTAGTTGAAAGTTTGAATAAATTGGTTGTTGCTATATGTATGCGTGTATTAATAATGCTTTTATGATTCCATATACAGCTTTACTGTCGTTGCAAGTTACTTTAACGGCTGTTGTTTTTGCTACTTTATTTTGTAATTTAAACAAATTTTAGAAATAGACCATATTCATTTCATTTATTTCATTTTCAGGTTCTTGTGGATGGTGAGAATTGGCGGTGGAGTTTTTCCTGTCATTAAAGAGCCTGATTATCTTGTCAATGGAGAGTATCGTGTTGACAAAGGGGCTGCTCCTAAGATGTTAAATTGTCTCATGTAAGTTCTTATAATAGTTTTGTGTTTTTTTTTTTTGGTTTTGTTTTGTTTTTTTGTTTTTAAAAAAAACTCCTTTGACGACTTTGATTAACTATTACTTATTTCCTATACATCAACATCATTGGACTTGCTTGAGCTAGACCGCTTATTTCTTTGTTCATTGTTACATCAGTTGGAATATAATCTATTGTTGATGGAATTTCGTGAGAGTCATGGCATTTATGATTAAAAATCAGTATCCATATCAGCACAGAAAGATAATGAATTAATTGCTAGAAATAAGGTTCAAATTTGTATTTTCCTTAACATTATACTTTCAGCTGTTTGAAAACCTTAGAATTATTACCCCCAAACCTTTCTTTGCGTCCTCAATGTTGCCACTTATTATGTGTAGCCCTTTACTAAAATCCAGCTTCTTAAGATGTTGTTTGGTTGGAAGTAAAAGACATGGGAAATTTCATTTCCTAGGAACTAAGATATGGGTGTGGTGTTTGATTGACACAGAATTATCAAATTGGGGGAAATGAAATTTCCAAGGGAAGTTTCAATTCCCGTGGAACATGGGAATTCACTTACCAAGCCCTTCCTTGGTAAGTCACATTTACCATGACTAGGTTTGATCCCGTGCCTTGCACGACCATATTTTCTTTTTTATGGCATACAAAATAAAAATTAATATCTTTGTAGAATAAATTATATTCCACCAGAATTACATCTTCTATAATTTTTTTATTTCCTTATTACTCTTTACCTAATTGCGTAATAACATTAGAAAGTTGAATATTATTGCTTGTTTATTTTGTTGACAAAAAAAACTTTTTTTAAAAATAATTTCCTTTAAAAAAAATTTCTTATTAAATAAATATTTTTAAAAAAAAAAAACCAAAATACTAAGAACACACCATAAATTGACACGTGTCATTACTAGTGTGTCTTTTAGTTTATAGGTTATTGATTATTGATTGATTAAATAAATATTTTAAAAAAAAACCAAAATACTTAGAACACACTAGAAATTGACATGTCTCATTACTGGTGTGTCTTTTAGTATGTAGTTATTGATTATTGTGGGGCCTAGTTGCATCATTAGCGCTAATCATTTAGTCTCTTTCTTTCTCTCTCCAAATTAGACAACAAAAAAAAAAAAAAAAAAATCAAGCTTACCATAAAACATAGGAAATCAATTCCTAGGAAAGTGAAGTTCCTATATTATCAACCAAACAAACTTATGTCGATTCCTAGGAAATGGGTAAAGGAAGTTATTTCCCATGAAATATAATTTCCTTTGGGAACTCATTTCCCATGTTAACCAAACAACACCTAAGATAACCAATTTCTTTTCCCTACAAGTGTATCAGCATTAGGTTGCTTTAGCAAGTTTTTAATTGCGGGATGAATCCCCAGGCTTGTGGCTTTATGAATTACTCGTTGATTGGCCTGAGTGTCGATCACCAGATGTCTGATAAGGTCCTGTTATCCCTATTTGTTGATTTTACTAGGAATAGTAGATAGTACACTTCCTTAATCTGTGATAGGCTTGTTGTGAACCCTACTGAGAGAAGGATATCATAGGACCAATGCATACCATAGGGATGCATGGGGGTATTCAGCAAAGTGCATTTATGCCTTGAAGCATTTGATGAGTATGTTGAATTTCTGGTGACATGCAGGTAGCAGTGGTCTGATCTATTCTAAATTGTGAACCATGCATTTTGTGTCTGAAAAGTAGCCTCATGGAATGTCTAGAAATTGTAGTCATGTTTTCTGATACAGTAATGTGTATACTGTATATGATGGGATTACTATAAAGTCTCCCTTTTGGTATGAATGAGGCAGAGAAAATGGGACTCATGGGAGAGACCATTATTGTGGAAGGTATTTTGATGTAATCATATAAAATATTTAATCACCCTGGGTTGGGAATTGTGGCAATCATTTATTAATGATGGGATTAGGACATATGCCCAGTATAAGAAAACATTGTCCATGAAATATGTCTAATCTAGAGTGTCTCTGAACTCTCTCTATGATGCTTTTGCTGTTCAGATATGAGGGAATTATAGTAGTAGGAGTGTAGGACTAGTATCCAGTTTCTGCAACCATAAATGGAGGATAAGGCACCCACAATTGTGCAAGAAATTAAAAAATTAAGTCCTTAACAGTTTGACCTGTAATTTATTGAACAACTTGCAATTTCTGACTAAAGTGAAACATGGGCCAATGTTGACAATAATGTTTCATATTACTTGCTTCTAAAATCCAAGTATCTATCTTGAACTTAAACCTCTACAGAACTGTCATTTACCAACCTACCAAATCTTGCCGCAAAAAATGGAGTGGCATTGGTATTATTTAGGAATCAAAGATTCAACTAAAGAGAGTTGATTGGTGCTGAAGTTGTATAAAGATCTGCCTCTACTTTACGCTTGCTTGATAAGTACACAGTGTGAGTGTTTTGCTCAAGTATTAGAGAGTTGAAAATCTAGACGTTTAAAAAATTGTATTGAAAACAATAACCAAAAAAAAAAAAAAAAATGGTTTGGGTGCTGTCTGTTTCTATCAGAAATGTGCTTACTGTTTGTTTCTGAGATTTTGAACCTTGTTAATGTATCAAATGCTTCATCCATCCAACTTGGAGTGAAGTTGACAGTACTGTCGGATAGCCCTTTCATTTTCCAGCCCTTGTGCTTGATAAAAAATAATAATACTTCTGGCACTGACCCCCCGGGAAATTAGATATGTGGAAGTAAATTTCAAAAGTCTTCTGAATGTGGCAGTGGCAATCCTACTTCTGTTTACTATTTTCTTTCTTATAAGTGGGTAATTGGTGCATTGCATACGTTTTGTTGTGTATATACAGTTTATGAAAAGAGAAATAAACTCATGAAATTTTTATGTTTGATTGTGGGCTGTAGGTACAAATTATGTTACTACCGGTTTGGAGAGATGCGCACAGAATACGGCAAGCCTCCTGGGTGAGTTTATTTTCATTTTCTTTGTTTTTCTGTTTTGACCCGAGATAGGCTTTTGATGTTTAATGGTCTGTGTTCTTTTTATGGTGGTGGTGAAGCTATCTAATGGTTGTAGTTTCAAGTTTGCTATAAAGATGACAATTAAATGTGCATTTTCTTGATAAGATTACGGCATATCTGGCAGCAAAAAATTTTGATGTTGATGCATTGCATAATAAATACAGTATATGGTAAGATATTATGCATAGTCAAAGCCATTACAAAACATACTGGTTATCTATGTACAGTGAATGTAAGATATTTACATATTTCGTTATCAAAATTATCAATGACAATCTTTGATTACCATTTATTGTATACTATATTCTAAACACTTGTGTATAGCCTTAAGAAAGCAAATATTCAATTTCTGGTGCACTATATATTTTTTTATAGTATTGGTACCTCCTTATTCAAATTGTGTTAACATTTGTGCCATAACATTATCTGCTTTGTTACTGCCAGCATAATCATTATTTTTTTAATTTTAAATTGATCAAACAAGCAAGCTGATCTCATGTCTGCTCGTAGATTTGCATTACTAAACACGTGCAAAATTATTACGTTTATAAGTTTATCTCTATGGCCTATGGGTGACAAAGTTAGGTGTCTAGATGGACTGTGTCCGTCTGTTCCCTCATTTGGCAGTTCATATTGAAAAATCCTACTTGTAGAATGTTTAGTTTTGCTATATAATCCAGGAATGATTGCTTTTTATTAAGAAGTTTTTAAGAGCCAATAGTTTAATGTTTCCTCTCTTTGTTAGTTTATTGTACTTGCTTCTAATGCCATTTGCTTATGATTTTCCAATTGTCAGTTATGATCGTGCTAGAGGTGTTGAAATCGGGAACAAGGATGTGAAGCTTGAATACTTGGAAGAAGCATTCACAACATCAAACTGGATAGTTCGGATATACAAAGTTAAACCACCTAAAAATAGGTGGTGAGGTCTCAACTCCCTCCCCAAAACAAAAGGGACAAAGGGTGCCTTGCGGACAGGAATAGATGTGATCTCGACAAATTCAGATTATTCCTAATTTGACGACAGTTAGAAAGAGCTTTGTTTTGCTTAGTCTAGTTTTATAACCTTTTTTGTTTCTCCATCTTCTATTCAATATATTAAGGAGTGTGTAGAGCCGTAGAGAAGATTGCGGACTGGTTTTTGACCTTATATTGGTAATATTTTGGGACTTCAAGCTTCTACCTGAGATTCACATTGGGATCAAAATATCATTTACATCATATATTAGGAAATTTTATCAGAAATGACCTTTTATGACTTTTATGTTGGCCATGGTGAGAAAAAACTTGTTTTTTAACTGCTTTGGGACATTAAATTAAGTTTTCTTTAATTCTCAACCACCATTTCCACCATCCCACCACCATCCATTGTCATGCCTTCCCATCATCGCCTGGTGCTTACTCGACAACAGTTCATACACAATATCAAATGCTATTAAACCATGTTTGATTTTTTTTTTGTATAGTGGAATTAGAAGGGGGAAGTAGAAAAGAGAAAGTAGGTTGTGTGGGTAAGTGTTGTTTGGGGCAAAAATTACCCCAAAACGTGGACCACTCCCCAATAGTGACATGTGGCCCAGTCTCGAGGTGACACGTGTCACTATGAAAGATACCACGTATGCAAACCCTATTAAGGGCACTTGAATTAGAGAGAAAAGGGCCTCATTACATAAGGAGGCCCAAATGCCGAGAAAGCCGTTAAACGACGCTTCTCAAGGACACGTGTCCCTATCTGATTGCGCCGTCAATCAGAAAACGCCATTCTAAGCCGTAAAACGACGCTTCTCAAGGACACGTGTCCCTACCTGATTGAGCCGTCAATCAGAAAACGTCATTCTAGGGTACCAACCCTAAAAAGCTTAGATTCCCACCCCTACAAATACCCCAATCATTTATGATGGGAGGGGTGGATTCAGGTTACAAACATAATCGTCGGAGGTAAATATTCCGTCATCGGAATATTCGTGTTTTGCAGGTATCCGAGTCTACTTGTCAGAAGAACGTGACCAGTGTCCCAGGGAAAAATCACAAAATCACCCGAAACATTTGGAGTCGTCTGTGGGGATACTCGTCCGTTATGGCAATAGACAACCAGACACTGAACATAGGTCCCGCTTCTGGTGAGGACGAACATGTAGAGGATATAGTTGTAACAATCAATTCTAGTTATCCTCTCACCTTGAGCAAGCTCCAAAAGGAGTTTGAGGGTAAGATGCCTTCTTCCTCTAGGCAACCGCCCAGGAAAGGAGGAGAGGGCACTCAAAAGAGGACCCAAAGCAAGGCAACTAATGCCGAAGATGCTGGAAACACCAATTTTAGTGGAAGATCTCCCAGGGTGACACGGACGAACATGTATAGGTTTCTTGAGAAAACACAGTTGGGGGGACAACCTCAAAAGGAAGAGCTTGAATCGTCTTTGCGCTGGAAAGACGCAAGAGAATACATCCGGTACAAGCAACGGGAACCAGCAGCCAAGTCAGAGACTGCCTCTTCTCCCATAATGCCCGATGAATTTTCAAATTCCTTTCTTTCCATACATACCAGCTCGGCCAGGACTAGTAGAAGTCAAGCTCATCATACGCAAACTCCTATTCCAGTTGTTCAACCGTTTCAATATCAGACCCCCCATAATTTTAATGCATTTCTACTGCCTAACCCTCCTATCTTCGGACAGTATGGGCAATATGGCCAGCCGTTCGGCCAGGCAGCTTACTTGGTGATATGAGTATTTTACACTCGTCCCTTGGTCATAATTGGTAGTGTTTTTGGCTCTTTAGAGCCACTTTTATTACTGATTGGTGTTTTCTAGTGTTTTCGTAGTTTTGGTTGAGTTTTGTAGGGATTTTCACCTTTAGAGCATTTTCCCAGGATTTTTAAGGAGCAACTACGAGCATGGGAGGAGCACGACCAGTTTTCATAGCCCAGCGCCGGTTAGAGTTGTCATACCGGTGATTAAAGGCTTGGTGCATGTGTTACCGAGGCATTTGGACCGAGTATTCAAGACCCGGAGAGGAAATTCGGATTGGGTCGAAGAATTGGAGCCCAATCGAGAAGTCCAAGTTGCAAAAGAGTGTGGCCCGGCCAAAATAGGCTCCGCTTGAAGTGCGCCCGGCCGGGCGGGGAAGAATACCTTTCGCCCTGTCTCGCGCTCGGCCTGGCGCGAGAGACACCCATGATGGAAAAAAGGCGGGCTCGATAAGGCGGTGTGGCGCCCGACCGAGTGCGATTTCTGAGGAGTTGACTTTGGTGATTTTCGTTAGTTTTAATTAGGATTAATTAAATGTTTAATATAAATACGTTTTTAGTGTTTTTTAGACGATCTCTCTCTCTCTCTCTCTCTCTCTCTCTCTCTCTCTCTATTCTCTTACTTCTATTATTCTTTTGCTTAGTCTTTCTCACTCTACTTAGTTTTTAGATTATTTTCTCTCTTTACAACTTTGTTCTTAATTCAACTCTTTGATTCCGATTACTTTGGTAACGATTTCTTCTACTTTAATCTCAGTTATTTATTTTATTTCTTTCATCATGACTTGTTTAGGGTTCGTTTGGCATTGCTGTGGTTTTCTGTTTTTTTGTTTTTTAAAAGTATATGATATATGACCCATAATGAATCAAAAATTATTTAAACATATTAAAATTATAATAATTTTGAAAACTGACAACAGAAAAGTGGAAACACCTTTTTCTTGTTTGTCGTTTTTGGTTTAAAAAAAAAAAAACCAGAAAACTGAAAACCAAAAATGATGCCAAACAAGCCTTTAATTGCTTTGTTTAGTTTATATTTAATTATGTGTGAGTAGTTTTCTTTCTAAGGTTTATGGGGATCCATAAATAATATGAAGGGGTAATTTATTGTTGTTGATTATCAATGCTTGATTAATTTCCTATTGATTGATTTAATGCTCTGCAACTAGATTAGTGTGGTCTTTTATGTATGAGTTTAGCAATATTGATTCTAGATTCGAGAGATGAGAATTGATATTTAGGCTTAGTTTCAATAGGCAGGTTAATTTATAAATGGTTAAGTCGAGATTCGAGAGATGAGATTTAATACCGGTAGATTAATTATGTGATTGTAATAAGTAGCGAGAGCCCTTTATGATCTGATTAATTGATGCATTGATGATTGATTATTATGTCTTACCCTGGAATATTATTTATTGGTGAACCTATGCCCTAGGTATTTTATTCCTTGATTTTCCTCCTACTTTTAATCCTTCCTACTTTTACTCTTAGTAGTTTAGTTCTCCTTTATAATAACAAATTGGTTACTTGATAATCTAGATTTTATTGATTAATTAGGAATAAATTGACTTGTTTCCATGTGGTTTGACCCTTCTTCCCTATCTACATAGTTAGTGGATTTAGGTATTATTTTTTATTAGGTGATTACGACTTTAGCCTGTCATTGGCGCCATTGCCGGGAAAACGGTTTCATTTTTATTTCTGATTGTTTTCTGTAGTCTAGGTTATTTCTTCTTGTATCAGAGAACGTTAGTTCTTTGAGGCAAGTCTCATATTTGATTTTTAGTTCTTTGTTTATGCCCAGGTGTTTCAGATCAGGTTATATTCCATTCGATCCTGAGACCGAACGTTGTTTTCATAGACAAAAGAATCTTTACAGGAAAATCCTGGCGGGTTATTGGGATAACAATAATCGCCGAGACCATTCAGAAGTTCCTTCAGATTCAGAATCAGAGATGAAGACACCTAAGAAGCTTAGTGATTATTCGCAGCCGACGCTAACAGATTTTCCACACCTTACTCCCACTCCAGCTCTTGATGGGGTGCAATTTGAGATTAAACCCCAAATTATCACGCTGATAGAAAGGAAGCAATTCAGTGGAGCTAAGGGTGAAGACCCAAATCTTCATATTGTAGACTACTGTGAATATTGTAATACCGTCAGGCAAGCTGGGGTCACACAGGACCAAATCAGGGAGATTCTCTTTCCTTTTTCTTTATGTGGAAAAGCCAAATTATGATATACTGGATTAATAGAACTGCACTTGGTATAACTAATTGGAAGACTCTTGTTTTGAATTTCTATAATAAATATTACCCTGTAGAGAGGACAACTTTGCTAAGAAGCGCAATTCAAAACTTTGCCCAAGAGCCAGATGAAACTTTGTATGAGGCTTAGGAAAGATTCAAGGATCTGCAGAGGGAGTGTCCCCACCATATATAATTTAGCACAGTGGCAGTTGATCAAAGCCTTTTATAATGGGATTAGAAATTCATCTAGAACAATATTGGATTCTGCAGCTAGTGGGAGGTTTATGAACCTTAATGTTGATGATGCAGGTCAAGTTATCGTAGATATGGCAATCCACAATTCCAATATGGGAATCATAGAGACTTTGCTAACAAAGTAAAACATAGTGTCGACTTTGTATCCTTTTTACAAGCTCAATTAACCTCTATTTGTCAAAAATTAGATAATCTTAGTACTGCAAATATAGTTAATGTTTTTGCAATTAATAATAATTCTAATGAGGCATTATGTGAAAATAGTGGAATTGCAGGTCATTGGGAGCAAGATTGCAGGAGTTCAGTGGAGCAAGTCAATGCCTTTCAAGCTTATAGACAGAATGACCCATACTCCAACACCTACAATCCTGGGTTCCAGAATCATCCATATCTTTCTTACCGGAGCACCAATGTTCAAAATCCGCCACCTCCACAACAATCACAGGGGCCACAACAAGCACTGCAAAAATATTACCATCCCAATGCTGGCCAGAAGAACCAACCACAACAACCCTCCTCATCTTCCTACCCTGCTTTAGCAGAAATTAGAGCAATGCTGGCTAGTATGCAAAACCACATGGAGAGTAGAGACGCTCAAATTGATTCGATCATAGCACATAATAAAATAGTAGATAATCAAATTGCGCAGATTTCATTCTACTCTACAAGCCCATCAATAGGGAGCTCTGCCAGCATAGCCAACCAGGCCTACGGATCAAGCTTTTGCAATTACTCTAAGGAGTGGTTCATGCTATGATGGACCCCATATGCCCAGAGATGATGAACCTGTTTTAGTGAATAATGCTAATCTTGATTCCATTAAACCTAACAGTGTTGCTAATAGCCCTACACGACTAAAGAGTAGTATAATATTTCTGATAATACATTGCAGGGTACAACTCTAGGGAAGGTAGCAGCTCCAAATAAGAGCAGTAATGCTCCAAAGCCAATTATCAAATTTCCATTCTCCAGTCCTCATTTAAAAACAAATTTGGATAAGAAGTTTAGTAAGTT